TGGAAGTTCTCTGTACCATCCATCTTTTGTCTATCTGATCATAAAGAAGATGATGCTTCTACCTTAGCAAAGGCCAGCAAAGTAAGGCTCAGTGAGTAAGGGGACAAATTTAGAACAAACCATTGTTAGTTCCAAGTAATCTCATTAAAATGACGTACAAAAGAACATGGTGGGTTATTCATCATTTGTCCCTCTACAGGGAAGTTTAGCATAATTTTTAAAGATCTGTTGTAACACAAGAGCCTTTATAGTTGTCTTGCACAAGTTACAAGTTCTCTGATCTCTTTGACACAGAGGTATCATCTATTTTATTTATCTAATTTAACTTATTTATCTAAATCATCTATTTTAGATCATCTGTTTTAGATCTACATCTAGATCACCTAGTTTAGATATAGACAGCATTATTATGCTGTCTTCTAGCCTCCAGAGCCTTGTGTCTTGCTTGTAAGAAGTACCTCTTTTCTCCTGTGCAGCAAGGATTTTTATTTTTGTAGACTGTGAAGTCTGGGGATCGATTGTGTCATTTTATATATTTTATGGAATATGCTTATATATCTCCTCACACAGCAGCAGCAATAAACAATCAGTTCTACCTACTAAATTACACGATGCTTCCAGAGTTACCCATGCAGTTAGTGTGTTTGGACCCAACTGTATGGAAGGCATCACTGATTTCTTTTTTTTATTGATCTATAACCAAAATACTAGATACCCGTATGCTGAAGCACATGTTTAGACCCAGACAATATTGTCTTTTTTGAGTATTGAGGCATTAGTTTTTGCATGTGTAGACATGACCTGACATGGAGTGTTGTGCAAGTAATCTAACATAGACCTGAGAAAGGGTTTCATGTGCATAGGTAAATGAATAGGCAAATGTATGTAAAGTATGCTTCCCTGCTCCCTTGTACAAGTTTCCATGCTCTGTTCTGAAGAAGTTTGTTTCTCTTTAAAAGCTAGTGTCGATGGATGGATGGATGGATGGATGGATGGATGGATGGATGGATGGATGGATGGATGGATGGATGGATGGATGGATGGATGGATGGATGGATGGATGGATGGATGGATGGATGGATGGATGGGTGGATGGGTGGATGGGTGGATGGGTGGAGGGAGGGAGGGAGGGAGGGAGGGAGGGATGGATGGATGGATGGATGGATGGATGGATGGATGGATGGATGGATGGATGGATGGATGGATGGATGGATGGATGGATGGATGGATGGGTGGATGGATGGGTGGGTGGGTGGATGGGTGGATGGATGGATGGATGGATGGATGGATGGATGGGTGGGTGGGTGGATGGGTGGGTGGGTGGATGGGTGGAGGGAGGGATGGAGGGAGGGAGGGATGGAGGGATGGATGGATGGATGGATGGATGGATGGATGGGTGGATGGGTGGGTGGGTGGATGGATGGATGGATGGATGGGTGGGTGGATGGGTGGATGGGTGGATGGGTGGATGGGTGGATGGGTGGAGGGAGGGATGGATGGAGGGAGGGATGGATGGATGGATGGATGGATGGATGGATGGATGGATGGATGGATGGATGGATGGATGGATGGATGGATGGATGGATGGATGGATGGATGGATGGATGGGTGGATGGATGGGTGGGTGGGTGGATGGGTGGGTGGGTGGGTGGGTGGGTGGGTGGGTGGGTGGAGGGAGGGTGGGATGGATGGATGGATGGATGGGTGGATGGATGGGTGGATGGATGGATGGGGGGAGGGAGGGAGGGAGGGAGGGAGGGAGGGAGGGAGGGAGGGAGGGAGGGAGGGAGGGAGGGAGGGAGGGAGGGAGGGAGGGAGGGAGGGAGGGAGGGAGGGAGGGAGGGAGGGAGGGAGGGAGGGAGGGAGGGAGGGAGGGAGGGAGGGATAATAGCCTATGGATTTATTCCTTTCCATTTTCTATTTCTCATTGAGGATTCTGCAGGAAGTGAATGAGATTGGACTTCCTCACTACATACATCTTTGTGTTAAGACAAATCAGGCCATGACGCACTGTGTATGTGTCTTATCAGGTTGCATTAGATTGTGTAACATTGAGCTTCATTTGTCTCCTCACAGACAGTGACTTACATCAGGAAAAGAGCAGGCCCACAGCAGCTCAGAAATCATGAGCACTGGGTTTCTTTGAGTGATACTGAATGTGCTTTTTTCTGTTAATATGGTGAGCAAACGGGTCCCAGATTCCTTATGTTAAGTGCTATGGTATTTAACATCTTCCTTTCTTACAATATTTATCTATTCTGTGAGCATATGCATAGCTTCCTATGAAGACAGGCCTTCAGAGCCAGAGTGGCCTTTGGCTTTTCCATCCCAGTTTTTTCTTCCTTATATGTCTGAATTCCAAAATTCCTCAGAAATGCTTAGGCCGGATTCATGTTTCACCAATAGTGAGCCAAATCCCTGAAACTACTATTTAGTTTGTACTCAGAAATGACTCATGCAAAATTCCCAGTGAAGTCAGATTTTCGCTTGATTCGAGGAGAATTTGGCCCAGTGTTTATAAGACTCGGCTGACATTAGCCACAATATGAATTGAAGGAATTGAGGTAAGCCAGAGCCTCCACATGATCTTCACACATGTGTGTAAGAAAAAAAGGTTTGCAGTTGAGTCGAGCTGAAAATCTTAGAGCATTTCATGGTTTTTAATTCATGTTTTTCATGTCATGTTTTTACATAATGATAAAGTCTTAGAATCTGAAACATAGTACTGTATTTACCTTAAACTAGAGCAACTCAATGCAATAGAAATGAGCAAGCAACCCAGTTCCAGGCTTCTTATTGTTCAACTATAATGTGGTTTCCCCAGGAATCATGGAATCCTACATATGGGTTTTAATTAACTCCAATAGGTATTTAATGGAGATTTAATAAGGCAGTTATTGTATGTTAATTAAATGTCAACTGATTGCTAAGAGGTTTTTGCAGTTATTGAAGTTTACTAATTATTGGATAGATAAATCAATTTTCCATGTGAATAACTCACATCTATGTAAGCAATTAAATATGCTGGTAGATAATGTATATTGTCATGCTGAAATGTGTTCATACGTTGTGTTGAATAAGCTTCCTGAATGTGTCCAATGTAGGCAGGAAGAAAACAGTTCACTCCTCTTACACTTAACAGCATTTTCTTGCTGAATACAACCCAGCTGTTAGTGCGGAAGATCCAGGTCACAGGACCTGTGAGTACAGCAGTAAGGGGTGTCAAGAGTTTTACGAAAATAGTTCAAATCTCTCCACCCTCCCCCCAGGGTTTAAAATGAAGATATGTCCTGTAGGAACTAAAGAAACTATCAGGTCTTTCTCTTTCTGTTGGAACAAAGTCTGCATTATGATGTAGATTGCTTGTCCTTTGTGTGTGAAGAATAAGTGCTCTGGAAGAGGAGTTTTGTTTTCAGAAACGTTTTTGGCATCAGGCATGCATTCAGACCCATACAAATGCATTGGTACATTCCATGTATTACCGATTATTAATCAGTACTCAGCATATTAATGAGGAAAGTAACTGCAATCAGCTCTGATTTATGCAAATTAAATACAACCCTCAGACTCTTGGTCAGTTACCAGGACAGTCTGCAGGTGGTAAAAGCATGGTTGAAACTTTTTTTTTTTTTTTAATAAAAAAAAGGGGGAAAAATAAGAACCTTTCTCTAGGACAAAGGTTCTTATTTTTGCTAATAAAAGGTTCTTATTCTTGATCATAAAAAAAATATAGGCCTTTGATGAGCTTCTCCTCTGACAGTCCTGCTTAAACCCTAATTCATTAGATAGAATACACTTGATATGCAGCTTTTACAGATGGTTAAGGAGTCAGGCCACCTGAGATATGCAGATAATTGCCTTAGAACGTAAAAGTTTAGACTTATAAAGTGGAACACTTAATACCACCGTGTAACTAAGTCTGTGTGGTACTGCAGCACAGAAAAGGGGCTGAAAAAACCCACCAGAACAAAGGGGATTTCTTCATTAATTATATCAAAACTAGTAGATAATTTGAAGATTTTGTTGGACTTGTAGCAACAGCTAAAGCAGATGCTTCTCTCATCTTAATCACTTAACACACCTTTAGGTAAAGGGCATGCTTTGCCCATCCTTAAGAATGGATAAAATGCAACATAGCGAAACCACTTCAAAATGCAACAAAAAGATGAAAGCAGGCCTTTAGAGTACCAAATTGCTTCATTTCCTCTAAATCCTGTATTCCTCAAAATTAGAGAGAAATTTAAAGTATATCCTTCTCAGTCAGTACTATGAAAACAGCAGGCTCATCCTGCGATGAAAAAGAATTATTATGATGAAGAGAACTACTACTCCCAGCCAGTGCCAGATGAAATAACACCCATGACCTCTGATGTTAAAGGGAAAGGTGCTTCTTTATTTCTACAGAAATCTTTCTGGAACTCATCTTGGGTGGCAGACATGCTCTATCCCACTCTAGTTGGGATTAGTGGATTATCTCTGCTTCTCTCAGTCTAGGAATTGAACACAGCTGCCCTGGGCTCTTTGTCATGGAGACTTTTTATGTCTTTGGTATTCTCCAGTCCTGCTTCTCCCCAAAAGCCATTGTGCTGTTCACTTGTAGGAGACAATAGCTTAGAGATGCACATTGACCAAGTAAACCTAATCAATAATACGGCACACGTGGGTGACACAATGCTGCCGATGGCTAATCAATAAATGCTTCCTGCTGACTTCTGTGCATCTGGCATGTTCAGTAAATAAATCCGATCCTTCTGAAGATAATTTGGCTCCAGACCTACATCAATTCTTATCTTTGGTTTATGGCTTGACCAGAGAGAGATTTAGAGCTTAGTTGGACAGTGTTTCAGCCAATTTTATCCTTCTGTTATGCATTTAGTAACTACATAAATTGATAAAACATCCTTAAGAAGTTATGTTTCATTTTTTTTCTACTTGAAAAATGGAAATTATTTAGCAGCTTCCAATAGAGAATTAAGAAAGATAGTTTCTTTCTTTTGCAGATACATATGTATGTATCTTATCAGTCTTCCTTGAGGAAAGTGGTGTCTGTCCTACAGCCTGAGAAAAAGGACTGCCTTGTGGAATGCTTCCATTTGGTGGTAAGCATTTACATGCTTTTCTTCTCTCTTGCCTGTGTTGATTTCCAGTGTTTACAACTTGTAAGTTTGAATTAAAGACTATAGCCAAAATGTTTAAATAACTACCAAGATGCATAACTGTAACCTAGAATCTCATGGCAACTGACTCCTTAAAATACATTTTAGTCTTACAGATATATCTGTCCTAAAGAGCTTTTTCCTTTGTTATGTTAGCCTTGTCAGTAGTTGTTGTTATTGTTTCTTAGAAGTTTGAATTTTCTTCATTCTAAGTAAACTCAATGGTCCGATTAGTTTCATTATGCACTTGAGTTGAAAATTCTCTGCTGTTAACACTCACCCATTCCTCTCACCTTCAGTTCCATAGAGCAATTTGCTCTCCTTACCAGTTTTCTGAAATTAGTCTTTCCTCTTGTCATCTCTGCTGATGACTAATATCAGTTGGACTAGATGATCGTTGTAAGTCCATTCCAACAGAACTATTCTAGTCTTTTCCAAATAAGAGTTTGAAAAAAAAGATGCCATGTGAACATGATGTCTAACTTAGGTCATGAAAGCTCAGCATACCCGTTTCTCCCTCTGGGCTCCCCCCTCTCACTGTAAACTGAGGTGCAATGATGAGTATGACAGGGAGCTGTCTTATACCATCCAAGAATGCAGTTGTGCTCTAAATGAGAATATCACTCCTGTAACTTAAAACAGGGATGCATTTCCATTTCCCTTTATAAGTGCAGTGTTTCCTGTGGGATAGGCTACAAGATCCTTTCATCCTACAGCATCCTACCTTTTGCAGGGCAAGAGAAGTTGTGTCTGTATATCTCTCTAACTGCCAACTCCCTTTCTAGTAGGAGAAAACAAATCAGTTTTCAGATTATAGATAAGGAAATAAGGTGTGCATGTTAGGTTTTTCCAGGAACTATGTCAGTTTACTCACTTGCACCCTTCTCTCTGGGAAAGTCCCTCATTGTGATCTGCATTCATCTGTTACAGAAAAGCACTGGACAGGTTTTTCCTGAGGCCTTGACAGTGAATCTCCAGAGGCTACAGATGTCTACCCTGCAGTCACAGAAATTATTACAGTACAGTGTAGATGTACCTGATATAACTTTAGGCTGTCTAGCTCAGATACCAATCCTGTTTCAGTTTCTGTAGTATAAATCCCAGTCTGAATTGATTTGTCTTGATGGGATTTCGGTGCAGGTTAAATGGTTTAATTCAAACTACGCGATGAATACCTTCATGTGTGCAAGCCTTATTGTCATATACTAAAGGAAGAATATTGAGGGAGAGGTGGAAGAAGTCCTTGTAATGTGAGCTGCTGAAAGGCCTGAATATCACTTATATATCTGAGCTCTAGTGAGACTGGAGTGGTCTTTTAAATCAACCATAAGTGGACAGATCTGCGGTGTCTTCTCTTAATAAATTTAGTGCTTTTCAACAGCAGCTGTTTACTGTACTTAATTTGTCTTACATTACTTTTCTCCTTAACTGGAAATGTTTCTTAATGTAATGTAGTAGCAATTCCCACCTTGTCCAGACATAGAGTACTGCCCATAGGCCGTTAGTTACAGATATGCCTTTATGGGGTTCTCCCATATTTGGGGCTTTAGTAGAATTCTCTTAATCATTTGAAGTGTTCAGTGACAAGCTGCTGGATTTAAAAGAGATTTCAGACCTTTTAGTTGGATGATGAAAATATTTGTAGCCCTGTGTAAGAGAAAAGTAAATCTTTTGGTTTGGACTAATGCCTGTGAATATTTAGAAAACAGTTGTCTATGTTGATGTCTTACATGTTGCTTTCCCTGAATCATTTGCAATTCCTGTGCTGCTGTTGGAATTCTGAATATCCTCATAAATATTTTTTAGGATTGTTGTGTAATGACCAGTGAAACTTGAGCAACCTTAATCTCGCAGATGTTTGTTCTTTCCTGTTGTAATAGTGAATTTTTTCACTTTCTTGTGTGTCTTTTATTTTTCCCTGGACTACCAGGTCCTTCCCTTTCTTCCCCATCTCAAGGGCTCCCTTTATGAGAGGCAGAATTACTATCAATAGCAAGCATAATGTGCAGGTTCCAACTAAGTGATGCAACAAATGCAGTTCAAACTTCTACCTTGTTCCTCCCTGCCTCTTACCGTTGTGCACCATGTTCATTCTGGCTGGTGGAAACACAAGAACTGCTCCTTCGGGAGAAATGGGACCTCCAGTCTCTGTGAACTGGCCCTCTGTATCTATCAGCTCTGGACAGAATATATTTCTGGTAACTACCATTGTCATGTTCCCTTCACATTTCCCAACTTCCACCCATAGGTGAGAAGCAGGAATGGAAAGGAGTGAGTGCAGGACATGCAGTGGATATGGGGTTCATGGACAAGTGGGAGGAACTCAAAAAAACCCAACAGCAGACAGCTTCCTTTGATTGTGGTTTCATTCTGACAATTGAGCAACTCTGACAGGTTAAAGAATAATTCATCCCAAGGACTGGAACAATAGCCTTTTTGGTCTTATTTTCATGTCCCCCTTTTTTTGTCTTGTATTCTCCTTGTATTACATGAATGTGCAGTGAAGATGCTGTGGAGTGTAGAACTACATGGAGACTTGAGAGCCAGAATCCAGCTGCCTGGCCCTTATGTTGATCAAAGCTGCTAAAATGGCATTTGTTTTTCATGGGAGTTCCTCAGGAAAATTCTGCACAAAACTACTGTAGCTTTTACTAAGATACTTTTTCAATTAAAGAGGGGCAGAACACTTTGGTTTTAAGTGGCTTTTAAATTTAAGCCATGTTTCTCCTGAGAAAGATTCTGTTTTTCAGAACAAAACAGTTATTTTTCTTAACTAAACGAAAATAACCCATAAGGAAACCTTAGAATACTGAGTTTTATGAAAGGGCGTTTTAATAAAGCAATTCCAATCCAGCAAGTAGCATAGGACTGTGGCAAGAGCAACAAATATGACACACCTGCCTGTTAGGTGTGTCCATTGATCTCAGCTTTTCTCCTTTCCTTGTTTATTTGCCTAAGGAAACATTTACTTATGGACTTATTTTGCTGAAACCTCCTCTTTAGGACAGGAGACAAGTTACAATTTCTAAAGCAAACCAGAAATTGTATGGGAAAAGAATATGGTGAACTAAATGGAAACTGACTACCTGTGCATACTAACTAAGTGAAAGAAAACCAATCATAATTTTTTATTTCCTTTTAAGGTTTATGAAATGAGTGTTTTAACTCACATCCATGTTTTACCTCTTGCTCTTTTAAAAGCATTTGAGAGTCTACATTTGTCCCTTTTTATTGGAGAATTTACATATACACAGGTGCATGCATATACATACACGTGTTTATTCAGAAAGTCCTGCTTCTCTGCTTGCATCCTCTGTGTGGAAAAGTTATATCCCATTAGTATGTTATTCACAATTATAAGGAATGATGCAAGAAAAATAACTGCATTAATCTAAGATGCCTGTAAATGTAACAGTAATTTATCTAGTAAATACAACACAGCACTGGGCACATGATCCACAGTTTTTCTTTCTGCACTGTTTTCTCATCTTTTACTGTTTGCTGCAGTGTCATCTTTATTGTTTACCATTCCAGCTTTCTGTATGCTGAGCACAAAATAGCTAAATCAGGAACTTTAGACTAAAGTGAGGGGATAAATTCTAACCTCTCTGTCCAAGCTAGCCCCCAGTGATTGGTGAACTGACTCTATGATTCTGCTATATCATAGCTTTCTTTTCCTTTGACTAGGCCATTGTCATATTGCTGTTGACCTCTAACCCCACATACACAAACCTGAACTCTGGATTAGGCTTCCCAGGGAATAAACTATGGGCAAAGTTGAACCACTGGCTAGAATGAGTTGAAATGGTTCATGCTGCTATAGTAACGTGACCTCATACTGTCTGCCTGGAACAAAGACGGTTTTCTTGTCCTTTTTTCTGCCCCTAAGTGTTTAAGCCCCCCTGCTGTTTATCTACTTGGGAGGGGGTGAATGCTCTACACCATGCAGTGAAAAAAGAGGTTACTCTCCCCTGCTTAAATAGGGCAGTCATCTAGGAAACTGGGGAATCAGGCGACCAGGAAAACAAAACAAAACAACAACAACAACAACAAAAAACACAAAACAAACAAAACCAGAGGTGAAGACCTTTTGATCAGTAATTTGAGTTTGGAGTTTGAATTTCACATAATCATCCCAAATCCTAAGTATTGCAATTTTTAACTCGGTCATATTTATTTCTCATCATGTTGTCTTAGAAAAATGCTAACTAAATTAAAACAGCTCTGGGAAACTTTAATGCACATTAGTCCTATGGAGAGAGATGAGGACCTCTGACTCTGGTAGAATTTACCATTTGTTTTTTGCTGTGTCATGGTTTTAATTAGGAACCTACAATAAATTATTTGAGTGATGATGCACAATAAATATGGAGTTTGGTTTTTACACCATGCCAAACTTCAGTAAGAAAACTGAGATGAGGGTTTATTCTGAAATGGGAGAAGGAAACCTAGTTCCCTTTCATTTAAACTGTACCGGTCTCATTCACTTCTATATTTTCCTCCAATTTTGGAACACCTGGTAGATTCTTCATCATGATAGTTAATGTTCTCACAAGTTTGCGTCAAAATGATGTTTAACTTGAAATGTTTAACTGGAGATCATCTTCCAGATTTGTTTCCAGATCAGTTTTAGAGAGCTCTGTCAAAAGATACTAAAAAAAAGCAACCAACAGCCCACTCTTTTTCCATGCAGAGGTTTAGAATACTGAAAATAAATGAGGCGCTGAGTCTTAATTAATGAATGAGCCTTCCTGACCTGTCACATGAGGAGAGTCTGACATGCTTTCCGTAATTTCACACATGATAGAAATGGGAGTTCTTTATATTTGCTTTCTTGATACTTTCTTCATCAATTAATCCTCAAAGTTAATCTATAATCCCTGTTGTCTGCAGTGGCATGCTCAGGTGGCTTGTGTGTTTTGAGATGGATGGTAGAGGTGATG